TCCGGGAACAAGGTTTCTGTCATGTGACATTATGACATGTCATTTATGAGTTTGAGTACACAAGCTGGAGCTGTTTCGTCACATATATATGTGCAGTACAACACCAGCATTTATGAGTGGAAAAAATGCAGATGAACAGGTTTAGAGATCTTGGATCTGACCTATCAGGATGATCAGGTGGTGGGAGAGTTCCTCAGTGTGGCTGTAGTGTCATTTCTGTTCCTTAACACTGCATTCAGAGAAGCTCTTTATTTAGATAACGTAAACATTCCCAAATTAAAGATATCTTTTTGTGTGTTTACCTTTGGGTGAAGGCTGTGTTTACCTTTAGGTGAAGGCTTTCACAGTGTTAATTCTTCGTAAAGTTGACTGTTTACCATTGATGTTTTGTGCTGTATGTCCTCGAGGATTAAGATTTGTTGTTTCAGGAAATGTATTCCTAAAGGTTTTAGAGTGTTTTTATTCTAAGTGCAAGTCGTATGTGGAAGTAAGAAACAGTTTGGCACCTTTAAGAGGGAAGCACTGCTCTGTTCTCAGTTACCAGTCGCTCAGACACCTCCTCAAACTGGATATCTTGTTAAAAGAGTCATGTTACTATTTGCAGATCCAGCCAAAGAGACTTAATGGGTGTCAGGCTACTGCTGTCAAGTAAACTGTTGTTTTAAATCATCTACATCTATCTGTTGACGCACAACAAAAATAATGGAAACCAGTTGTTGACATGTGAATGGTGGTCAAAGATTGGACAACATTTTAATCTCACTTCTTTTTTAATCAAACAGGATGTCTTCAACATCAAACGCAGACTTCAGTTGTAACAATGGAGATACAATCTGTGGTAAGTTTTAACGGTGGAGCATTGTGGTCGATTACCTGCTCCGGCCTTTAAAAGGATTTGTTATTGTCAACTTCAGACAAGACAAGCAGGCAACCTTTGAGGTCAGTGTTTCTCAGACTTATTGAGTGATGTTAAGAGTGTGTTTGTTTCATGTGTGCAGAGATCCGTACTTATGAGCAGGAGGTGATCATTGTGCCGATCCTGCTGCTGTCCAGCTTCCTGGTCACCCTGATCTTCATTTTACTGCTGCGCTTCTGTCCAGAAAAAGTCGATCGGATCCGTCCGCAGGCCTCAAAGCCGACCAGGAGGGTGCTGCATGGCATTGATGGTAAGACACTGGAATAGGCAGAATAATTGTGATTCAAATATGCTTAATCATATCAGGGGACTCAAAGTGGCTCTACATTGTCAGTAAAGATAAAGGAAGGCCATTGAATTTCTATTGTTCTTGTATTTTTCAAAGTGTAGCTAATTGAAGCTCATGTTCAGTAAGCTGATCTGTATGTGTAAAAAATAGTTTCTTCTCTGTGTTTTACAGATACATTTTTGGACTCATACGACTTAGTTTATCTACTATCATGTAAATGTTAGCACTTTTGGACTTTTCTTATTCCCTCTCTCCCTCTCTGTCCCTTGTTTCTCTCTCTGTCCATAGCTCCACCTGGTATCAATGTCCTGGAACATGAAAGCATCGCTCTGGACGTACCCAGTTCCTACTCCACCTTCAACACCGCAACGACTTACCCCTCCAAAAGCCTCACCACGCCTGTGGTTGAACCCTCGATCCCGCCCAACCCCCCTCAGCAGACCTTCCAGCCCACTTTTACTCCTGTGGTCAAGCCCAGGGAGCTGCCCCGTCAGAGGCTGCCCGAGTCCTTCAATCTGGTCACCCCTCTGCCGGTTGCCTTCTCCCTGCGCTCCGACTCCTCTGTGTCCCTCTACAGGGCCCGCATGGAGAACAGGAACGTGGTGCTGCGAGTCCTGAATGGTGAGAATGTTAAACTTGAAGTTAATAGAAGATGGTTGGTTGCAGTCTTTTTCTGGACTCTGACATCTGATGTAACTTCTTCTCTCTCATCTTTCTCTTACTCTCTCTATGTTCAGATTCTGCTGATGCCAATGAAAGACACAACTTCTTAGGCTTTGCATCCTTCCTGGCCCAGCTGGGACCTCACCCTTTCCTTCCAGAGCTTCTTGGAGTGGTTTCACTTCGAGCTCCTCTGGTAACTGTTGTAGAAGAGCTGGAGAACAGAGACTTGCTCAGCTACCTGTGGCGATGCAGACAGGTACGGTGAATCTTTAAATAGGAAATCCTTCTACTACGTGCATTAGCTCACTTTAGGCATCAAGCCATACATTTAAAGCAGAAAATACATGGAGCAAAACAATGATTATATTATCTTCAAGATGGCAAAGTCATTTGTGTATGTCCTTTTTCTTTCAGGAAAATGTGAATCCACCGTGTGAAATGACAGAGAGAAGAATATTTACCATGGCCAAACAGGTGGCCTCAGCTCTGGTTAGTATGCTAATGAATATGCCCTCACCTTTTCAAAAAATGTTTGACTTTCAAATCACAGAGAAATATACCCCCTGTCCTGACACCATCTCCTGTCAACAGGGTTTTCCTCCACCAGACCCTAAATGTGACAGATTTTAATGACATTAATTTTCACGAGGAATGTCAGAATTGTGTTGGGTTTGGGTGATGAAAGAATCCAAAGTTACATGGTGGAAAGATTTCAACTGATTTAGCACCATTTGGAGGTTCATCAGGAACAAAAAGGAAAAGTCAAAAAGTCTGAGTCTCACCAAATTCATTAGGATTTAACTTCAGGGGAGCATGAATCCATCATGATGCTCACTGCATCTTAATCTGTATATTATTAGTATAGCATGCTCACTGCACCTTAATCTGTATATTATAATCCTAAGAATACACTTATTTTGTAGCATTACTTATTTATAGCATTTATTTATATTTATAGCATCCCATTAATCCAGCCATCCAGATATACCTAATAATTCACTTTTTTTGTCTACATCTGTAAATTTTGTAATTACTGTACATAGCACAGACTCTTGCACTTTCTGCTTATTTGCACTTCTGGTGAGATGCCAAACCTCATTTCGTTACTCTATACTTGTATATGTGTAATGACAATAAAGTTGAATCTCATCTCATCTCATCATCTCATCAAAAAGCTAACTTGAATTCTGAGTTTGGCTTAAAGCAGTGGATCCAAAAAACTGTCAATTATTACCATCATTTACTCTTTATATATTTTTGTATTTTGGCCACCATAGATGAAACAGCGTGAATACATTTACCTTCAAAAACTCTCTACATGCATTCAATCACTGGATCTAGCTAAGCTAAACGGATATTACAGCTAAAACAAAAAAAATAGAGGTTTAGATGTTTCATCATGGGTTTCATCTTTTTGCTCCATCAGGAGTTCCTTCACAACAAAGACCTTCTCCATGGAAACATCCGTGCCCGCAGCGTGTTGGTCAGTAAAGAGCACACGGCCAAGCTTTGGGGCCTGCATGGGGTCTACACCAGGAAGAGCCAGGGGACCACTCAGAAAGATGATGCCAGCATGAAGAAATGGCAAGCACCAGAGCTGTTAGCCCGGAGACCTGCCAGTCAGAGCAGCGATATGTAGGTTTTTTTCAATACAAGGATGATGCAATTCATTTTTGGAATTTACTGAGTTAGTTATTAGCTGACCATAACTTCCATCTGTGTGTCCCTCCCTAGTTGGTCGTTTGGCATCTTACTGTATGAAATGGCAACATTAGGTAAGTAAATGTTTGACTTTTGGGGAAATTAGTGATAGATGATCCAAAAAACCTAAAAAAAAAACAAAGTACTTTATAAAGTAACTATTTGTAGCTTGAGACTGAGAATAAAACTTTCCAAACTGTCAGAAATTTGACATATAATTGATCATACTATCAACAAGTTTAGTGCAGCTGTGGCTCAGTTGGTAGAGTCTCTCAACAGAAAGGTAGGAGGGGGTTCGATCCCCAGCTCCTGCAGCTACATATACGACCATTTGATTTCCTGGAGTACCCAGAAACCACATCATCTGATTATTCTTCCCATATACAACCTCTTTGTTTTGTTTAACAGAACATTTACTATTAAACTACTGATATTGCAGTTGAAAATTGCACATGCATTGCCTTGACAGAGCTCTGTATCCATACATAGATTTTCTATTTTCCCTCCAGGTGAAGCTCCTTTTGCAGAAATCTCAGTGAATGAACTTCTGCAGTTCCATCAACGAGGCAAAAGTCTGAAAAAACCTTCAAACTGCTCCAACATGCTGTAAGAACCTACTACATGCCTCTTATAAGACGCACAACCAAACCAGAGGATGTTGCTTAATAATCTCATATAATGTTTTAAGGCTCAGACTGTTTTCCTCTGTCCTTCAGACACTCCATCATCAAGGGCTGCTGCCAGTGGAAGGATCAGGATCGACCATCTCTGGCCGAGGTGAGTCGCAAGCTGCTCTCAGGAGAGAAAGGTGCATCAGACAAAGTCCTCAAGGTGTCGGGAGCGGTGAACATCGAGCAGTACCTGCGGGAAGCAGGATATGGCGAGTCTAACAGCTACACTGTTTTCTGATCCCTGCTCGGACCCGTACAAAATAAAACATAAATTGCACTATTCTCAACCAACCCAGTGGTGCACTTTACAAAACAGTATCTTTCAAGTGCAATAAGTGTTTCAGGCTCTGAAAAATGTTCTTTTATCTACCTGATACAGTGCCTTCTTCTCACTCCTTCTGCCATAGTGAAATATTTAAAGTTCATTTAGGGAAATGTAACCAGTGATTTGTAACAGGAACTTGTAAGATATGTAAACTTGACCAAGTACAGGTGCTGCATCCCTCAGTTGTAGCTGATACTGTCAATATATGATGGTTTAAAAATCATGTTTAAAAATCTCAAGCCAACATGAATGAAGATGTCATTTATATTTTTACCACCTTTTGTATGATTGTTTATTAGGCTGAGTTATGGAAATGAATGAAGGGAACATGTTTGTATTTATGCTATCATCTCAAACATTTTTATGTTAATAAAAATACCTTAAATCAAACAATGATCTTTCGTTTTTTCAGACACACGCACACACACACACACACAGATTCAAAGATCCTTTAACAGGTATTTTTTATGGGTAGAACATGTGTAATTGTGTACACAGAGTACTTCCACTCAGCCCTGAAGAGAGCAAACCATTAGAAATACCTATTTTCAGGTAGTTAAGTTGGTTAAAGCTACTAAAACTATATTTTTATCCATGAAAAAATAGCTTTGATTGTAGTACAAAATGGAAAAGATACAAAACTAAACTTTTAAAGGCAGGTAAAATGAACCTCAGGCTCTACGAGTGTCCTTTACTTGATGTGGTTGGAGCCTGGGTTGAACATCTATCTTAAAATAACAGGTAACTACTAAAAGACTGAAACATATTACCAAAGTTAAAGCACCGGTTTGAAATCCAGCAAGAAGGCAACGTTTCTTTCTCCCCTCCCCCAAGAGGTGAACTGTCCTAGACAGGAGACCTAGCACCTAGTCCTGCACACCGGCAGGTTTGCACAGTTTCACAGGAGTATACATAAAGACGTCGCTCTCTACTCACAGTAACAGAATAAACTAAGAAACACTACTGACATGAATACAAACGTAAAAGTATACATACAAGTTTTTGCACATTCAATGTCTATAAAAGTGAACTGTTAAAACTCATGTCATCAAAGATTGTAGTATTTTTTTTTATTCTGCTCCTCGGCCGGACTGCATCACTCACGCAGCGTGTTGATGGAGGCACAGATCTTAAGCGCGGGACCCAGCTTGATATTCATGGTAGATATGAGATGATCCTCTCGCAGGAGCATAAGAGCTTGCCCGTCTATTTCCTGCGACAGGAACTGAGCAGCCAATTCTTCACAGCCTGAAGGAATCCCAACAGAATGGGACAGTTAAAAACAAATGAAAACAGGAGGCCGAGCTCTTTCAAATAAAACTGTTTTCTACTGACTGAAAACTGACCTTGAAGTGAGGAGATAAACCTGCACACTTCTTCCACGCTCCACTGAGCAGGAGTTGCCGAGAGAAAGTTAGCGCCCTCTAGTGGAGCAGAGCTGTCAGAGGGAGGAGCGCTGTGCCCGGCTCTCGAGCAGGAGTGAGAAGAGCTCGGGGACAGAGAAGGAGACTCGTCCTCTTCTTCTTCTTCTCCGTCGCTGGATACATCATCCGAGCGGCTGGACTCAGAGTGACACTACGACGAAAGAGGAACATACTTAAAAGAACGGCTAAACAAAGACTTTAGAAAGTGTAGTGCATTTGTTGATAAATGCCACCAAATTGATGTTAAGCATAAGGAAGCCATTTTCCATATTTTCTTGTGATCAAAAAAAAAATCCAAGTAAAAACACAAAACCAATCAATATGTAAGCCAAACTCTTTTTTTTTAAATGACTTTTCAACTGTCTCCAGCACATTTCAATTCTTGTCAAATCGTTAAAGCGACAGAACATGAACTTATAAAAAGATGAAGTGTGAAGTTCTTTTTAAAGAACCACTCATAACTTCGTAAAACAGCTAAGAACTGCAGCTCTTAACAAAACAGAAGAAATGCATTTGTTAAAGGGACTATCTTCAGTTGTGCAATAATACACAAGAAAGAAAAGAACGTGTCCTGTAGTGTAACTTTGTGGTCTACACCAACTGAATGCAGGGTAACCTTTTTGTTGCCAAAACAGAGAATATGACCAGCTTGACCTTTTACACCACATGTCTTACCTTGACAGGTAGATGCCTGCTCGATAACTTATTACAGGGGATATTAGAGCTGCTCCTGCGGGAGGGACCCCTTCGCCTGGCAGCGATCTCAGTGGGGGCCGGAGGAGGTGCCACGCCTGCACCACTTCTCCCTCTGCTCGTTTTGAAGTGTTGGCTGCAGCTGACATTATACCTGTGAATCCAAGAGCACAGTGAGTACACAGGGAGACATTTTCAGGTTTTTTTTAAACCCCCGTGTGCAAGATTGTTTTTTCAAAATCTCAAGCCCAATGTGCACAGTAAGCCTTTCAGCTCTAATAAGAGGCATACTCTTGTATGGTCTTTCGCTAGCTCCCTTGTTATGCATTGTAACCAGACCTTTATGTATTCACAGCAGCAGTTTCTTGAGAGTCCAGATTGTAAATCAATGCAGATATGTGAGGCTAAAGTGAATCATACCTCTTAGCACATGTGTTTGAACAGAACCTCTTTGATCCTCTGAACTGGCTGGCAGGGGCGAGGCTTGCACAGTATTCACACTTCAACACTGAAAAGAGAAGGCAAGTATACAACCATGTCACAAATGTAGTAAATTTAGTAAAACTTTGAACATTTTTAATTAAAAAATAAAAGTTATTCCATCACTTACAAGGAGTACCGTTCTCTGATCGGCCAACCAGGGCATAGTCTCTGTCTTTGAGGAGCCCAGCAACCTGTCATATCAAACACAAGCCTGACAGTAAGGAACTTGATACACACAAACATGCAAAGTGTAACTTCAATTAATCTCTGAGTTAATGTGAAATCTCTGTTATTATAGAATGGCATACTTACAGGGAAGGGCTCAGCTCCCTCCTGGATGACGAAGCCCTCTATGAGGTGGGTGAGGACTTGGGGTTTGACCACTGCCTGGGGTACTGGTGCTCTGTCTTTGTCCCCATGGACACCTCTTAACAAGGGCAGAGGCAGGGACAGGGTGGGAGGAGATGTGAAGGCAGCTGTCACAGGAGGAGCTAATGAGGTGGGAAAAGACACAAGGAAAATAATGAGAATTGAACATATAGCTACAATTTTCTACTACTTGTACTAGTAATTCATGCTTGGTTTGGATAGGGCAATCTGACATACCCGAGTCCTTTGTCGGCGCGGGGGATAAGGGAGGAGCTGAGTCTTTCATTGGTGCAGAGGAATCTGTTGCCATCTCATTTGAAGCATCACAGTCAGATTTTCTTTTCAGAGAGCCGATGACAGGCTTTATCTTATTGTGTGAAGGAGAACAATGTGTTACAAAAGTGTTACCATTCCTAAAACACAGATTGTTTTCCTAACAGTTTAACAAAGATAGTTTCAGTAATCTTACCATTGCACTGTTGTTGGAAACCATGTTTACGTTCCACCAGCTACA